GCATCCGCTGAGCTCCTCCTAATATCGCCTTCCTCCTCCTCCAGAATTTGCGTGTAAATGCAGAAGATATGCTGCGATAACCCCTCGAAGTGAATGCGCCGATCGAGCTCATCGAAGTGGGTCCGAAGCCGAGGATAACATTCGAGAGCGAGTCGAGTCTCCTCTTGGTCACCACGTATCACCGCACGCATCGCTGAGAGAGCCCAATAGTGCTTCTCCTGTCTCGCGCGGGCAAGCCGACGCCGCAGTGCAAGACGGGCCGATCGGCCAGCTTCAAACATCATAGACTTGGCAAACTCCAAACGGGTCCACTCGCCCCAGGCGGCGGGGATGGTAGCAATCACCTCCTCAAGGGCCTGTCCGAACTCAGGGGTCTCGGCAAGCCATGCGGGGATGCAGGGACTCCTGGGGTCGGGAGAGTACCTTGTGATAGTAGAACGAACGGGCAGGTGGTCGCTGCTCATCGCCGCTTCCAGCTTCCCAGCGACAGTGGTGGAGACGGTGAGATCACGGATAAGGGCAGCGGGAAGGGAGGTGTAGATCCGATCTAACCGCGAGGTCGAAGCGACGGCGGACCCTTTCTTCCCCCTGCGGATGTCGGCGGGCTGAAACAGTTCAGTGAAGTGAGGAAGAAGACGGCGAAAGTGTCGTGAGCGCCCAGCGTCGCCGGCAGAGATACCACTCCCGCCCCCGTTGAGCCCCCCCTCCTCCTCTAAGACAAAATTCCAGTCCCCCATGAGCAGGATGCGTGCGCCTACGCCGGCGCCCCCCCCCAGGTGTAACAGAACGTCGCGTTGCAGCACGCCGAGCACTCCAGCAAAAAGAAGGACTGCATCAGAAGTATTCGGGAGATGAAGGTTGTATACAAACAGATTCCCATAATCCCCAATCAACGTCGACTTGATCATCCTCCCCGTGACCAAAGTAGAATGAGAAACGGAAGAGAAGAGATGCACGAGAGCAGGACTGAGAGCGGCGACAACCCCTCCTTCCCGAGAGGAGTCTTCAAAGAAAGAATACCCGAATCGGAAGCCAGGCAGGCTGTGTTCCAACTCAGCAAGATCCCCGATATGCCCATGTGTTTCTTGTACGGTAATGATGTCATTGGTGTTGCAGAGCGATAGGTAACGGTGGTAACGGTCCCGAGCACGCCAGGAGTTCGTTTCCACAGTGGTGAAGAGGGCGCCAGTGTTCCATGCACAGAGGGAAAGGGGGGGGGGGAGGAAGAGGGAGGAGGCGCAAGAGGGGGGGGCCTGAGTTGGAAAACGGTCTGCCTCCGTCTTAAAAGGGCCTACGGAGCGCCACCGCCCCTGCAGCCTCGACGCGCTCGATGTGTTCGACGATTCCAAATTCAAGGAAGACATCTCTGGCGCAGCGGATCTCAATATTCGACTCCTGAAACTATCACTTCGACTGCCTGCACGGGCTCGTGGGCCCGCCGTAAAAAGAAAACTGGGCCGCCGAGTCCTGTGCTGCCTACCTCCACTCCTTTTGGTGCAAGGAGGGCAGTGAGTGCAGCTCGGATCCTCCCGAGGGAGAGGAACAGCCGCCGCGAGATGGGGTTGAGATCACGACGGAGGCGGAGTGAAAGGGGCGGGGCGCCTTCGGCAGGGTCAGGCACACTCCATGCGCCCCCTGCTCTGATGAAATTGTCCAGGAAAGTGCTGGCGCCTAGCGCCGTCTCAAAGAGGAGAGTCACCTTCTTCGAAAGATCAAAGCCGCGGGCAAGAATCCTTGCCTGCTGCGCTTCTGGGGAGAATTGCCTGATGCACGCGTTGCCAATCTCACGAAGATCTTTGGCAAGGAGGGGCCTAGGAAAGCCAAGCAGGACCAATTTGCATGTATCCTGCTGCGGCTGGTCGGGCGGGCTCGGGCGCGAGCTGCCCCTGGCACTCGAGGCACTGGAGGACAGGGGGGGGGAGGTCGGGGTCGGGGTGGAGAGCGACTCGCACAGCCGAGTCTCTGAGATGCGCTGACGATCGGCCAGGTCGGCCAGTTGTCGCTCTATGCTTTCGCACTTCTCACTAAGCGAGGGGCAGGTCATGGCGGCGTCACCTGTGTTCCCAGCTAAGAGCTCGGTGCGGAGGGCATTCAACTTCGCGTCCTGTACAGAGATGACGTTCTTCAACTCAGTGTCGAGCACCTGGTGCTTGGACTGTACGTCGCGAGCGAGTAGATTCATCTGATCAGCGAGCTCCCCGCATCGTTTGAAACTTCCCTGCACGGCACCTCGAAGTTCAGCCAGCTCTGTTGCGTTCTGCGAGACCACCTGGTTCATGCTGGCAATGCTGTAGGCGATCGAGTCGAGCTGGGAGGTGATCCGAGACTGATCTTCGCCGTCGGAGCGGCGGGCGTCGGGTGTCCTGCTGGCGCTCCTTCTTGGAGCAGATGAAGGCGATGAAGATCGTGCAGAGCCACGCCGCTCAGATCGCCGCTTCCCCATGGCAGCAGTGTGGGCGAGGTGAAGAGCACGGTGGACTGGGAGGGATCTCCGCAAAATGCGGATGGAAGGCACGGGCGCTGAAGCTCGCGTGCCGCGAGGCCTGTCCTCGCAAGAGCGCTACCTTGAGCCAGAATGGCTTGAGCCAAAATGGTTTGAGCCAAAATGGCTACGGAAGTTGGCATTGACGGGTTTGTGGGGGGCCCTGGCCCCCGGGGCCTCAATCTCCCTCCCTGGTCGAGCCCGGAGACGCTCGAATCGCCCAATGTCGCTACATGTGGCTCCCAGAGGGGCCTCCGATGGCCCAGTTCCCCCCCCCAGGCGGCCCAAAGACGACCCCGAACGCTCGGGATGTACCCAATGTGGCCCGAGGATGACCCCAAAGTGGTTCCCAAAGGCTCCGATATTGCTCTGCACAGGGCCCCCGACGGGTGACAAATCGTCAACATCGTTTCGATGTTTGCACATGGTAGCGCTCTCCACCTTCCAGCTCAAGATGGCTCCAAAAAGGCCCCGAATGCTTCCACGCGGGCCTCAACTCTCGCTACGCGTTGCACGGCTGTCTTCGCGCCCTCGCGCCGCTCCCAAGAGAGGAACAGCTCTCCCGCCCAGGCCACCAAGTGCGAAGCGCGGTCGTCTTCGCACCCGTGCGGGTAACCTGGCTCATCCTCCCCATCTTCGCCGCCGTCGGTCGTCGTCGTCCTCCCCTCCGTATCGTAACCTAGAACGACCAGGCAGAGGGGCAGCAAGAACTTACCGCGAACTGGCAGGACCCGCATGGCCCACCAGAACCACCTGCATAGAAATCGACACTGCGGGCACCCAGCGCCCCCATCGAGGCCACTCCTGCTCCAGCTCTGGTCCTCCTCCTGGTCCCCTCCCACACTCCACCCACTGGCGCCAGAAGCAACTACACCGGGTCCCAACCGACTGCTTGTGCGTAGCATGTTAAGGCAGCACGCTGGTGGTGATCGAGCGCAGAGGATGGCGAATGCGTGTCCCTATGTTCTCTACTCTCTAGTCTCTGCAACGTGCTCTCTGCTGACTTGTCTTTTTTCTACACTCTCTGCTCTGCATGTGGTGTGGCATCGACACCACATGTTGGGCAGGCCGCCGTCTGCTCCGAGCTCGGGCGTCGCGAAACATCACGACTGGTGTCTTTTCACGGTTTTCGAATCCAGGGGGCTGTTTTCGATCCCTGGACCATCAACAACGACCCGCGGCGACAAATTGGCGTCAAGAATGTGGTCGAGAGCGCTGGGAGCCCCCTCGTCGCGAAAAAATCGCGACGTCGGATGTCTGGGAGTGGCCCCTCACCCCCACATCTGCATCTCTAACTTGCGCGCGGCACTGCCCGTGTCTGAGCACGTGCGGGGCAGGCGCGTGAATATCTAACTTCCTGGGCAAAACAGAATCAGGCGCCAAGCGGCCTCAACACGCGTGCCCCTGCGTGCAGATCGCGACCAACCCCCTCACTCCTTCCCCATCGATTCCCTCGCCACGACCCCCACCGCACACCCCATCCCCGTCCGCGACGATATTGGCAATATCGGTCCCGCCCACTCCGTGCGGCAAGGGCACGTCGGCGGTCGCGCGCGGCGGCGACGCCGCTAGCGCTTGCGCTCCGTGCCAATGTTTTTCCCGCTCCAACCACCACGTTCCCAGCTGCATCAAAGCGAGCATGTGGTGACTCGCGCTGTGTTCCTGTCAACTCACAGAGGGCGAAGATGATGACTCCGACCGCCTGCCGCGACGCAGCGGCGCGCGGGCGATCCTTCTTCACCGCCTCCTCCACCTCGGCTGGGACTTCGACCTGAGCTGGCAGGAGAGGCCGAGGACACGGGGGATCAAGGTAGAAGAGGGAGCGGGGAAGCATGATATGGAGAGTCGCGTACGTCACACTAGCTGTAAAGGCGACATCCTCGTCCTCATCATACTTTTTGTTGTGGAGCTCAATGAGGTGCCGTGCAAGTTCTGGTCTTGCGGTCTGTGGGCCTACTCAGGCAGGCTCGAAGAAAACAGTCTAGGCTCCCCCAACCCATCTGTGACACTGCGACGTTTAGTGCGGTCGTGGAAATGCTGACTTCGCTGTGAGGTGGGGCTGGGGGCCGCTGCCGGTAGCTGCAAGTGGACCCTGGCCCATTCTTCCCTCAACGCTGCAGCATGTGTGAGAGGTACGGTCACTGCAGGCAAACCTCCTTCCTGCCTGGCTTGGTGAAAAGGCCCTGCGCCCTCCCACCATCTCAGATCATCCGCCATCGAGCTCGCGGCGGTAACCGTGCGTCGAATATTTGCTGCTGGAAGCCCGCAACTACACGCCACCACCGCTGGTGGTGTTGTAGAACTTGCCGGACTCTGACCTGATTGAGCCTCTCGATGCCAACAGGCCGTTTGGCCATCGGGCAAATGCTCCACGAGGTTCCTGTCCGAAGTCCCACGAGAGGCCCGAAACAGAGCCCCGTGACCTTTGCCATCCTGGGCCCCTCGATCAGCCGGCGGCCTTGTCTTCAGATATGCCGTCCAGCTGGCCCTTCGTGTACTTCACCGACGCCCCGTTGACTCAGTGGCGCTCGTTCTGCGGGGCGGGCGCCATACGAACACTCTCGCCATTCCCCTCCCCCCTCCCATCTCCCCTCCCCTCTCCCCTTGAATTCGCCGGCCCAACGGGCCAGAGGCGTGCTAAGATCTCCGGTTGCTGGTGCATCATATACATCTAGTTCGCGCGCGCGAGGCAGCCCTTGGGGGTACCTGGACGAAAAGTACTCCGCGAGACTCCTGGGACACTCGGGTCAGAGATGATTTTCCTCCTGTGTGCGGCCTTTCAGCCTCCCAGAGCGCTACAAGAGGGCAGGAAGAGGCCCCAAGGATGGTCCAACAAGGCTCCGAGTCGCCGACCGATCGGTCCAAGACACCCAAGACGGCTTCCAGACGGCCGTAGACGCTTCCAAGATGCCCAAGGGAGCCTTGAAGAGACGTCTCCAGAGGGCCCCAAGAAGCAACAAATCTGCCGACCGCGTGAGGGGTCTGTCTGGTCCCGTCGACGGGACGCCTTTTCTGTTTATCCTTCCCCATCGAGAGGGAAAGCACTCTCCCGTCGTCGGGGGAAGGAGTCCTGGGATTGACGGAAATCGACCCACGTCGTAGTCACGTCAAAGGGAAGCCACCTACCTTTGACCCTTCCCCCGCGGCGGGGGGGTACCTGTAGGAGGGGGGATGGGGGGGCGGGTGGGGAGGGGGGGTCAGATTCGCATCGCCTCTGGGGGTCCTCCTCTCCCACGCCGGTCCTTCTCCGGCGCGCCAGTCCTCCTCGGGTCCTCCTCCCCAGGTGGGCAGGAGTCCCAGGGGGGGAGGGGAGTCAAATACGCATCCGTCCCTGGGGGTCCTCCTCCCCCTCCCCTCCCCTCTCCAGCGCCGGTCCTCCTCGGGTTCTCCCAGGGGGGGGGTCCCAGAGGGGAGTCATTTTCCTCCTCCCTTCATTCCCCTTGAGTTTTTTTCTACGATTCTGGCGTTTTACCTCTCCAGCTTCCCGACGCTCCAAGACGCCCCCAAGATCGCCCCAAGATGGCCCAAGAGGCCTCCAAGAGGGCCCCAAGATGGCCCAAGAGGGCTCCAAGACGGCCCAAGAGGCCTCCAAGAAAGCCCTAGATGGACCCAGGACGGCCCAAAAAGAGCCTCCCGACGCTCCAAGACGGCCCAAGACGCCCCCAAGATCGCCCCAAGATGGCCCAAGAGGCCTCCAAGAGGGCCCCAAGAAGGCCCAAGTGTGCTCCAAGCCAAGACATAGCCCCAGGACATTTTGAACCGTCCACCCCGAAACCACACCAGTAAGCCCCAACGCGCCCTCACAAGACCCCCAAGAGCCCCCCAAGAGGGTCCAAGAGGCTCCCAAGAGGCGCCAAGAGAGGCCCAAGAGGCATCCAAGGCGCCCCCAGGAGGCCCCCAAGAGCCCCTAGAACCGCTACACAGGAGCCCCCCGGGAACCTTCCGAAGAGACTCCAAGAAGCATCCATGAGGACCCTCACCCACAACCGCAGCAGCGCCGACCAGCGCCGCACGGCCCACGAACGCGCACGCAAACGACAACGATGGAACAATACGGGCCAGCGGAATGAGCGAAGCGATTGAATAACATCTCGATCAGTTTCTTGCATCCTTATGATCTTTTTATTTAGAACTTATTAGAGGCTCCTCGGACACTTCTTCAAGGCCTACTCAAGGCTTCATCGAGCCTTCCTATAATATTCGTTGCTTGAGTTTCTGAAGAGCTTCTTAGAAGATATCTAGATGCTTCTTTGAATTTCCTCGCAAGCTTCTGAGGAATTTCTTAAAGTCATCTTATTGGCTCATGCGAGTTTTATGTTATGCCACCGGAAGTTGTCTGAGAGGCTTACTGATGAGAGGTGTCCGAGAGAGAGAGCCGTCTCAGAGGCGTCTCAACTGATCATCATATTTTTCGAAGGCTTCCGAAAGGCTTCTCAGACATGCTGTCTAGCATGTGCTTTGCCACCTGATGGTTGCCCTTGACGAGCTGGTCGCGCTTCTCTTCGCGGAACTGCTCTTCACTCGTGTCGCATTCGACTGAACCTACTCGAATTGTGAGTGAATGAACGAATGGGGATGAGGATGACGAGGACAAAGAGGTCCTTCCCCCCATCCTCCAACTCCAACAATCCATACCCTCTTTTTGCACTCTGTGAGCTGCAACGCGAATACAGTCGATGATCGACGACGAGCGAAATCAAGAGAAGCACCAGAACGCCCATCAGAGGAGGGGCAAAGTCCAAGGGGCACTGTGCGAATCCAAACTGGAAGCCCGCCCCAAACTGCTCTGAGCGCCCCTCTCCCTTGGTGTCCCGGCGATGCTGGCGGCCAAGGCGCCACCAGTGCAGTGTGTGGCACTGGACGGGAGGATTTGTCCGCCCCCTCTGCCGGCGCAGCGCTGGAGCGCTAACTCCCTCAGTGGCCCTAGCAGCGCCGCCCAGCGGCGAGCGCGACGGGCGCGCACGCGGGGACTCTCGCACTCCCCCACCACGCACCCCTCCTCACAGGAAGGAGGGAGGAGCATTCGAACTCGAGCCGATGGCAACGTCAAACAGAATATGGCAGACACGCTAGCGGGGTGCCCTGACACGATGTGTCGCTGGCCAGCAGTGGCCACGACATTCTTATAGGGCGATCTGTGCCAATGAAGCTTCCCCTCCCATCGCCTTGCATTGTTTCCCCTCCCGTCCCACCCTCCTCATCCCCCTTCTCCTCCTCGTCCTCCTCCTCCTCCTCCTCACCTTCCCTTTTCTCTCCTTCTTCTTCTTCTTCGTCTTCCTCCCCCTTCCTCCTCCTCCTCCTCTTCCTCCTCCTCCTTTGGCTCCTCCTCCTCCTTCTCCTCCTCCTCCTCGTCCCCCTCCTCCTCCTCCTCCTCCTCCTCCTCCTCCTCCTCCTCCATCCCTTCTCCTTTTAGATCGCCCCCGAGGCTGGTCGAACGGTCGAAAGGGCGGGCCGGGCGTTTCGCCTGAGGATTTCTCACGTTTTATGATTCTGAAGCTTAGAGTTTGCAACTGTTTCGCGGATGGAAGGCGGTCGGTTTTGAAAACATGTGGCTTTCGCTACTGCGCCGCGCACATCCGTCTTAAACACTTGCATCAGTTTTGCAGACGTAAGGCGGCACGTTTTCGAAATAGGGCTCTCGTCGTAGCGCCGCGCACATCTGTCGTAAGAGTTTGCAACAGTTTGAAAAATGGAAGGCGGCTCCTTTTCAAAATGTGGCTCTTGCCTTAGCGCCGTGCACATTCGTCATGAAATTGTGCAAGAGCTTCACGGGTGGAGGGCGGTTCCTTTTCAAATCGTGGCTCTCGCCTCAGCACCAGGCATACTCGTGTGAAGAGTTCGCCGCATTTTTTTTTTAATCGATTATCATGGTACACGTCCCAAGAACAGTGCTTTGGCACGATGTCGGAATGTCAGGGCGCAACAGTCACATGGATTCGCGGTGTCGAAGTCCCAGGGCTGGCATTCTGGCACGATTCAAGATCGTCAAGACGAAGCAATAACGGTGAATCGCGGCGTTGGTGCTCCAGGAATGGGGCTCTGGCACAATTCCCGAATTTCTAACGGTCGTCTTCCAACGGGGCATTTCCCTCAGTGAAAATGAATTCGTGTAGGGGCCTATGAAGAGGGAATTTCAAGGGATGGATTACTGCGACATCGTTGATGAATCCTGGTTTACACTGGTCATCCTCCTCCTTCTCCTCCTGTTTCCTCTCCTTTCCTCCCCTCCCCTCCCTTCTCATGCTCCCCCCCCCTCTTCCCCGCTCCACCACAGAGACGCCGTGACGGGACAGGAGTGCTTAACAGAGCTCTGCACGCGGGGCATCCGCGCTGAGCGAAGGGCCTTCCAGAAAGCCTCGACAAGCTGCCCGAGAAGCGCCGGACACGGGGAGCGCCCCAACCCTCTGCAGCTCCGCAGCGGGCCAAGGTCAACGCGCTCCCAGCGGGCGGGCGCCGTCGAGCCTTCTCCGTGCACCGCTCGCCGTAGAAGACGTGCCCGAGGTGGCCCCCGCAATTGTTGCACACGATCTCGTACTGGCCGCCGTGGTCCTGAACCGCCGCCGCGCGCGCGCGAGCTCGTCCTGGGCGCCGCCGCGCGTCCCGCTCTCCGCTCGCCTCGGGGCCTCTCCGGGCCCCTGGGCGGCGGAACGGTGTGCCCGAGCAGAGGGTCGGCAAGCAGAGGCATCGGGGCCTCGTCCTCCCTCTCGTCTGCCTCCTCCTCCTCCTCCTCCTCCTCCTCCTCCTCCTCCTCCTCCTCCTCCTCCCCTCGTGCTGGGCACCCCCTCCTGGACCCGCGCTGGGACCCCCTCCCAGAGGGCCGAATCTGAACGGCGTATTTCGTTTTCGTTTCGTTCTCGCTGTCCCTCGCTGTTGTCTCGAATGATTCGAGACAAAAGCGAGGGATTCGGATGATTTTCGGTATCATTTGCGGTATGATCTTCGAATGATTCAAGTGATTCGAATGATTTGCGGTAAAGGCGGATTCGAGTCGAATCCGCCTTCACCGCAAAACGAGGTCGAACCATTTTGGATGGCCTGGTGGCATGTTCGAGCAGCCAACCGACTGGCGACGGCTGTGGAGGCCGAGCGACTATTTTTCAGCAGGTGCGGCCGTGTAGCGTCCCACGTCCTATCACCCACCCCGACCACCCACTACGTAAGCAGGAGAAGGCAATTAGAGGTGAGGATGGCCTGGATAAGTGCCCGTGGTGCTCCAAAGGGTTCCTCAAGCGTAAGGGCCTCCAACAACAACCTGTCCAACAACACACTGTCCGACAACATTTTGCTTTTGTTCGTCATGTTGAATCCATCATGGGCCCATCCAACACTTGCCGTGCTTGCGCCATGGAGTTCTCGCAAAGGCGTCAGGTGCGAGAACACTTGGCTTTCAACTCTGCGAGGTTACACGGCGCGCAGGCGGCGTATGACGTTGCTCGTACTGGGGCTGCCGAGGACGCAGCTGAAGTGGTACGGAAGCGGCGGGCAGGCGTGGGTCGGTGGAGGTCAGACTTTCCTGCCACCCCACATGATGGCCCCATATGAGACTCCAACTGGGTTTTCGCTGCAATTAGCGAGCAGCAGGCCCGTGAGGTTCTATGGCTCCATGTATGAGCTCTCAGAGGCCTCCAAGCAGTACATCCGGAATAAGCCACCGGATGGCCCCCCCACAGGCCCCGCACAGTGTTGACCCCATGCAAGATCGCGGGTACATATACAGGCCACAGGACTTCACCGACTTTGCAGCGCAGCCACTACCATTTCGCATCCGACTTAGGACGATATTCATACTCAACCGTTTTTCAGGTATGAGAGGAGAGCAGGATATGCAGTCCCATATTGAAGATCTGCAGGTTCTCCCCGATTGTGAGTTCATCGTGCTCAGCCTAGACATAGCGATACATAATGTCAAAGGGGCCATGACCAGGGATGATACCAATCAAGAGTGGGTGGGACACATCCTGGCGAGAAGAGTATGGTGCTCAGGGGGGGGGCCATGCGAGACGTGGAGTGCTGCACACTGGTTGGAAGGGCCTCCCCCCGTTACGTACTAATGACTATGCTTGGGGAGTGCTTTGGGCCACAGAAGAACAGCATAGACAACTATGGATTGGCAGTCAGCTACTGCATGCCATTATCCATATCATGGGAGCACATCTTAGGGCGGGCACAACTGCTTGGATGGAACATCCTGCACCGCCTGTCTGGAGAAGAGAGGCTTCCACTTCCTTCATGTGGCCGCATGCTCGTGCGCTCATGCCTGCCCCATGTTCTACAACAGTGGATTTTGATCAATGTTGTTTCCAGGAAGGTGATCCCAGTACGTTTGGTAAGGGACCTACCAGAATAATTGCGATACGTCGGCCAACATTGTTTGATCAGCTCACAGCACAACATCATGGCAAGTGTCCGCATCCCCGTATGTCAAATCCAATCCTGAGGGGGAAAACGGAGCAAGGAGTATTCCGCACAACACAGAAAAACACGTACCCACCACTCATGTGCAGAGCGCTGGCCAACAGTATTGCTGATGCGTGCGTCGAGTTTTTCGAGCATGATCCCGATTGTAAGTACAATGATGACGGGGAACCATCGGAGATACGAAATCAATTGTCACGACTACGTGTGCAGTGGAACCCAGACGTACCACACAGAGTGGCACCTGATTATGAAGGAGGTAGCGACTCGAGGCAGAGGAGTGATGAACCTGAGAGGTGGGATGTGTTTGCACGTGCCCCTCTCCCTCCTTCCCCTCCGCCGTCCCCCTTGTCGCCTTGTCCTCCGCCCCGCCTCCCCACCCAGTGCTGGAGCCAGCTTGAGGCGGACGAAGAAGTCGCCGAGGAATTGTTCGGTGTTGCTTCCCCCCCCCCCACCCGAGGGAGAGAGAGCACCCGCCTCGGCCGAGGAGCAGGCCAGGAAGGAGGCTGCCCCCAGCGTGTCGAGCGAGGTGGAGGCCGCCGCCGCACCGCCCTCGGCTCCTCCGCCTCCCTCCCCCCCCCCCGCCTCTCCGAGGAGCAGCTGGCCTGGATCGCGGCCAACAGGGCTATCGCGAGAGAGCGTCGGTTGCAACGTATTGCCCCGTGGAGAGGTAGTATTGAATTCAAGTTTTGAGTTTTAGATGTCGAGGTTGCCTGAGCACAGCTGTAACGCTTAAGCCAACGTGCACCACCACCACCTCCCCCCTGTCTCCTCCCTCCTCCCTCCTCCATCATTCCCCCTCCCTGGTCCCTCCTCCTTCCTCCCCCCTCCTCCTCCTCCTCCTGCTTCTCCTCCTCCTCCTCCTCTTCCTCCTCTTCCTCCTCTTCCTCCTCTTCCGCCTCTTCTTCCTCTTCCTCTTCTTTCTCCTCTTCCTCCTCTTTCTCTTCTTTCTCCTCTTCCTCCACCACCTTTTCCTCCTCTTCCTCATCTTCCTCCTCTTCCTCCTCTTCCTCTTCCTCCTCTTCCTCTTCTTCCTCCTCTTCCTCCTCTTCCTCCTCTTCCTCCTTCTTCCTCCTCTTCCTCCTCTCCTCCTCTCCCGCTTTCCTCCCCTCCTCCCCCTCCTCCCCCTCCTCCCCCTCCTCCCCTACTCCCCCTCCTTCCCCCCTCCCCCCCCCCTCCTCCCCCTCCTCCCCCTCCTCCCCCTCCTCCCCCTTCCTCCCTCCTCCTCGTCCTCCTCATCCTCATCCTCCTCCTCCTCCTCCTCCTCCTCCTCCTCCTCCTCCTCCTCCTCCTCCCCTCCTCCTCCTCCTCCTCCAACTCCTCCTCCTCCTCCTCCTCCTCCTTCTCCGCTTCCTCTTCCTCTTCCTCCTCCTCCTCCTCATCGTCCTCCTCTTCCTCCTCCTCCAACTCCCCTCCTCCTCCTCTCCTCCTCCTCCTCCTCCTCCTCCTCCCACTCCTCCTCCTCCACCCTCCTCCTCCTCCTCCTCCTCCTCCTCCTCCTCCTCCTCCTCCTCGTCCCCTCCTCCTCCTCCTCCTCATCGTCGTCCTCCTCCTCCTGCTCCTGCTCCTCCCCCTCCCCCTCCCCCTCCCCCTCAAAACATTACCCGTGCCTTAACCGACAGCCGTGACAATCCTCGTCCTCCTCCTCCTCCTCCTCCTCCTTCTCCTCCTCGTCCTGCTCCTCCTCGTGCTCCTCCTCCCCCTCCTCCTCGTCCTCCTCCTCCTCCTCTTCCTCCTCCTCCTCCTCCTCTCCTTCCTCCTCCTGACGAAGAGCATAAGCAGCCAACAAACAAGAAATCGGGGCGCAAACTGGAGGAACGCTTTCAGAAGCGAGGAGTGGATAGAAACGAGTTTGAGGAGACGAAGGTGAGGAGTAGTGTCGGATGTGGACTGGGGGGATTATGGAGAGGACAAGGGGATAAGGGGGTCAAGAGGAGGGAGAGGAGCAGGACGATGATGATGAGGAGGAGGGCGCCAAGGATTCTTGGGCATTCCTGCCCACAGCAACAGCAGGAACAGGACTCGCGGACCTCAGAGATCCAGGCTCTGGTCCCCTGCGGCCCAGCACGGGGATGAGGCAATACTCTGCAGCCAAAGTGCAAAATCCCTGGCAAACTGGACAACAATGTCGTGTCCAATGATAATGGTACTGATGATGCTGCTGATGATGAGGATGATTACGAGGAGGAGAATGAGGATGAGGAGGATGATGATGCTGATGATGATGCTGATGATGATGCTGATGATGGTGCTGATGATGCTGATGATGGTGCTGCTGCTGCTGCTGATGATGATGCTGATGCTGATGCTGCTGATGATGCTGATGATGCTGATGATGCTGCTGCTCTTGTTGTTGCTGCTGCTGCTGATGATGTTGCTGTTGCTGCTGTTGTTGTTGCTGCTGATGATGATGCCAATGGTTGTGGTGGTGGTGATGATGAGGAGGAGGAGGAGGAAGAGAAAAAGCAGGAGTGAGCGGCCGGATGGGAAGGAAGATGGGGAGGGGTAGGGGCAAAGGAAGGCAGGAGGAGAGGAGAGCGAGGACAGGGCAGGCAAGTTGTGGCCACACTCGCATTTCACCGCCTTCCTGCGCCCGCTGGGTGAGAGTGCAGCGCCCAGAAAGCCCAATCAACGTACCACCTCCCATTCTTAGCCTGGCTGAGCAGGAGCCAGGCGGAGCAGGGCAGGCAGGGCGCCGCGTCACACCTGCCGCAGCGCGCGGACGCCAGAGGCTGTCGCGAGATCGCCATGAGGGTCTGCAAGCGCTGGACACAGGAAGAATCTGCATGCGCAGTGCCCGCGAGAATGCGCGCCCCGCACAGTGAGCAATGCTAGACCCGTGCACGGGTACGCCGCCCGCAGAAGTGCCCTGCCCGCAAGTCACGAGCGAGCGACCTCTGCCCGCCGAGCACGTCCCAGAGAGAGGGCAGTGCCACCACCCGCAGGCACAGCGGTGGGGCGAGCCGTGGGCCGCGGGAAACCACACCTGGTGCGGGGCAGGGTCCGCATGGCCAAACGCAACCGCAACCTACAGGGATGCACACCTGGCCGCGAGTCGCGCCGGTACTCCTACTCCTCAGAGTCAGCGCCCAACGTGGCACGGGGAACTGACCAGGCAGGCCAATCGGGTAGCCCGCAGAGTTGGAGCACTGCCTGGCTGCAGAGGATGGATGCAGAGGGACAACGTCGAGGAGGCAAAACCGCACCTCCCAAGAAGGCCTGCCGGCAGAAGTCATCCGGTCAGATGGCGACGGGCGCGCCAGCGGCATTCGCCCTAAACTGCGCGCGCAGGGCCCACGAGCTCCCAGCCAACCTCTCGCATCGCAGCCATAATGCCTCCTTCGTGGCGAGCCACCTGGAAGGGATTTGGCCTACCGTGCGAACGCCGTAGCCTTACTGGGACAAAGAAGGTGAAATCCTCTCTCCTCCCTTACCGTCCTTGTCCTCCTCCTCGTCCTGGTCCTCGTCGTCGTTCTCCTCGTCCTGGTCATCATCTCCACGCGGCCGCTCCTTGACCCCCACGTGGCAGCCGCCCTCCTTGGAGTACACTACCTGGTCGAAGCAAGGCCAGCCGCAGCTGGACCTCGCACCAGGCGTGCACCCCCCCGACACACACACAAACACATAATCACACTCACAATCACAATCGTCATCACAATCACCGTTACAATCGCACACAGGCACCAGGAAGGGAGAGGCGGAAGCAGAGTTGGATGAGATCCACGGGAGAACGACAAGTAGGACGATGATGAGGAGGAATACTATGAGGAGGACGCTACAAACAGTTAGGAAACGTCTCACCTACCTGAATGGAGGATGATTAGGGGGAGGATGCTGAGATGTAGGAGGACACGGGTGATGATGATGATGATGATGATGATGATGATGATGATGATGATGATGATGCTGATGCTGATGCTGATGCTGATGCTGATGATGATAGTGATAATGATGATAAAAATGATGATAGTGGTGGTGATGATGATGGTGATTATGATGACGATGATGATGATGATGCTGGTGATGATGATGATAATGATGATGTTGGTTTTGCGTAGTAGTAAGATGTTGATGATAATGCTAAATATGATGGCGATGATGATGAGGATAATGATGATGAGGATGATGTTCAGGAGAAGGACGATGATGATACTGACGATGACGATAACGATGACGACGATGATGCTGATGTGAGGATGATGATGAGGATGAGGATGGTGATGATAATGAGGATGAAAATGAGGATGGTGATGATCATGGTGATTCCGCTGCCGCTGCCGCTGCAGCTGCCGATGGTGATGGTGATGGGGATGGGGATGGTGATGGTGATGGTGTTGATGATGATGACGACGATGACGACGAGGACGATGATGATGATGATGATGATGATGATGATGCTGATGATGATGATGATGGTGCTGCTGCTGCTGATGATGATGATGACGATGACGATGACGATGACGACGACGACGAAGCGGCTGAGGAGGGACAGACACGTGTTGTCCGTCTCTCGGAAGATGTTGTAATGGAGGTGCCAGGTTGGGGGGGAGAGAGAGAGAGAGAGAGAGAAAACAAAAAAGACGAGAGCCTTTGGAAGGCTTCGGGCTTTTCGTTGAATTCTGGGGGCCAGGTTGGAGGAGGAGGAGGTTTCTTCATATCGGCTCAGCTCGCCTCAGGGTCGGCCCATTGCGGGTGGAGCGACGCGACCATAAACCATGCCTCGGCTTCAAAAACTACGCTGTGTGGGCGCCTTACCCTGCGCCGTGCGGCCGACGGCGGAGGCAGTCCCTCCTCAGAAAAAGGAGCGGTGAATGTCCTCGTCCTTGGCAACCATCTCTCCATTGACGATCTCCTGCCACGCGTACACGGGCCACGCGAAGCCACTGGCCATGCACGTGAGCGCCAGGGGCACGTCGATCATGATCTCCTTCTTGGTATCATTCGTGCGGCGCAGGTAGCTGCGCCCTGCCCAGCCGATCCAGCCAGTGGTGTAGATGAAGGCCAGCGAAGACGGGATGATGCCTCCGCGGACGAACTCGCCGGTGGCGATGGTGCGCGGGACGCCGTCCTTCTTGCCGCAGAGGCGCTCGCCGTACGCCTCCTTGCGCCTCTGCAGGCCCGCCTTCTTCTTCAGCAGGCGGTTGTAGACGGCGGTGTCCTTAGGGTACTTCTTCAGCTTCGCGTCGACCTTGAAGAACTTGTCCTTCCACTTCTTGGCGTACTTCTTGTTGTCCTTGCACAGCTCCAGGTACTTCGCGGCCTTGATCGTGAACTTGTCCAGCGTGGGCCTCACGGCGTTCTCGTCCCTGCTCAGGGCCTCGGCTGGCGGCGTGAAGGCCGCGAACACCATGCCGGCGAGAAGGCCGGCACCGATCCACTTCAGCGGGGAGGGCTCCTGCTGCTCGGACGCCGGCAGCGGGGCCGCCGCGGGCGAGGCTGGGCCAGGCGCCTCCAGGCTCTGCTCCGGCGCGCGCAGCTGGCGCGGCTTGGCGGCGCCGGGCCCGGAGGTGGTCGGCACCAGGAACGCCGCTGCCGCGGAGAGGGCGGCGCCGAAGGCGCAGGCCGCCATGGCGGCATGGAGGGCGCGCGTCATAGGAGGAGAGGCGGATGCGGTGCGGCCCGCGAGAGACCCAGGAGCCAAAATGGCTTGAGCCAAAACGGCTACGGAGGACGAGGAGGAGGAAGAGGAATGATGAGGACGTCGTCGAAACGGAACGCTGTTAAGGTTTTCGCAAGGAGGTCTCTGGCAGTTCTAGAGGGCTCACTCGGGCCAGGGAGGAGGAGAAGGTAGAGGGCCCCACTCTCCCCTTCCCCTTCCCGCTCCCCTCCACGACCTCTGACGCACGATCTAAGACCACCAACGCTCGTCGTCGTTTTTGTCGTCGCCTCCGCCGCCGTCGTCGACCGCCCTCGACGTTTGTCTGACCCCCAACGCCCAAGGCCCCCCCCCACCCTACCAGAGGGCCGAAGGCTTCCTCCGCCCGAGGGGCGCCCGAGGGACCCCCCCAAGGGGCCCCTGGGGGGTCCGATCAACTCTGGAAGCGCTCTTGCGAAAGCCAGATCCGACCTCAAAAATACAGCCTCCATGTGAGAATGCAACCTTGAAATGCCAAATCTCGCCTCCACAGGCGCACGCTTCCAGAGGGGATCGCCCTCGCCTTCTGCCGGCCAGCACTCGCCGCGCGCCCCATGGCCCGCAGCGCTCATCACATGGTCCGCTCAGACCGTCCTGGCTCTCATGCCCTGGGGCGCCCCCTCGACCTCTGGCCCCCTGCCGTGGTTGCTCGGCGTACGTCGGTCGCCCTGGCCGCCGTCGTGCGGCCGCTGTGATTCCCGTTTGCTACAAGCGCTGACCCACCATCGTGCAGGCGCCGCGCCCCTTGAGCAGCCCGCCGCCAGCTCCTCGATTGACATCGACGACTGCGGCGGCGTCGTCGCCGAAGTCGCCGCCGACGCCATCGCCCGCCCCGCGGCGCTCGCCCTCGCCTTCCGTCAGTCGCGCCAACCACCGGCTCCGGGCGGCCACCCCCAGCCCCGCCCAGTCCCGCTGCCATCGCGGCCGTAGTGTGGGGTGGGGCAGCATCAGAAGCACGGATGAGGATAGAGAAGGGAGGATGGAGGAGGAGAAGGGAGGAGGAGGGAGGAGGCGGAGGAGGAGGGGCCGAGGGGAAGGAAGATGATGATGATGATGATGATGATGATGATGATGATGATGATGATGATGATGATGATGAGGGTAATGACGACGATGATGCTGCTGATGATGATGATGGTGATGATGATCATGATGATGATTATGATTGTGATTGTGGTGGTAATGATGATAATGATGATGCTGATGATGATGTTGATGATGATACTGATGACGATGATGAGGATGATGATACTGATGAGGATGACGATGATGAGGATGAGGATGATGATGACGATGGCGATGATGATGATGATGATCATGGTGATGATGATGGTGTTAGTGGTGGTGATGATGATGATGACGATGATGGCGATGATGATGATGATGATGATGATGATGATGATGATGATGATGATGATGATGATGATGATGATGATGATGATGCTGGCGGTGGTGATGATGCAGATGACAATGATGCTGATGCTGATGCTGATGCTGATGCTGATGCTGATGATGATGATGATGATGCTGATAATGAGGATGATGAGGAGGCGGAGGAGGAGGGAGAGAAGGAGAATGGAGCAGGGTGATAAAGAGGAGCACGAGGAGGACGAGGCGAAGGAGGAGAAGGATGGGCGAGTTAGTATCGGGCGCCGCATTGAATGTGGGAGCGCTGGTTCTAAGCTGCGCGATGTTGTACTGCCTTGAGCTGCGAGGCACGTTGGACGCGGTGCTGAATTCCAACAACATGGCCGACTGCGAACATTGAGCGGTTTCGTCATCCTACTGCTTCCGCTGTCCACCGTGTCTTTGGGGTGCCGATCGGCGGCCATAAATGTCGGGCTCCCACATCGCAGCAAGTCGGGACCATCGGTCGTACAGCTGTTTGGCTACTCGCCCTGCATACCGTTATTTGCGTTGGAAGCACACTGCCGTCCTCTCATCCACCTAATATGTCCTTGCAATGCCTGTTGTAGCGTGTACGCTTAGATATGCGAATTAACTATTCCGAATGCCCGATGCCAACATCGTCGTCGACTCGATCGAAACTCATGACTAGTGCCGCGCACGTGCCTGCCGTTGACGTATGTCCCAACGTCGGACCTGCTGGCGTTGTCGGAAGCGCTCATATGTTGGTTCGCTCAACGCCTGCGTGTTCACGGCGGGTCGTAACATTCGTATGTGTCGCCTAAGTCAGACGTTCACGGCAGTCATGGTGAGTTACGTGTCCCCGACATGGGGGAGGAGTAGGGAGGAGCATGTGGAGGGAGGATGGATGGGAATACCTGTACAAGGGAAGAGAGGAGGATGGAGAAGCGAGGAGGAAGGAAGAAACTTTAAAATAGTGAGTACTGATGAGAGAAATATGTATGATGATGACGGCGATGCTGCTGCTGCAGATGATGATGGTAATGCTGACGATGACGATGACGATGACGATGACGATGACGATGCTGATGACGATGATGATGGCGATGATGATGCTGATGGCGAGGATGATGACGATGAAACTGATGATGAGTATGGTGATGATGATGATGATGGTGATGGTGATGATGGGGATGATAATGATGGTTGTGATGCTGATGATGACGGTGGTGGTGATGGTGTTGGTGATGATGATGCTGATGATGATGGTGATGATGGCAATAGTGATGGTGATGGTGATGGTGCTGGTGATGATGATACTGATGATGATGATGATGCTGATGATGATGATGATGATGATGACGATGCTGAGTCTGAGTATGGGTATGAGTATGAGTGTGAAGTTGCTGATTCGTATATGCATGTGTATGTATATGAGTATGCGTATGAGTATGGGTATGAACATGGGTATGAGTATGGGTACGCGCATGGGTACGCGTATGAATATGAATATGATTGGTTTGAGTATGGGGAGGAGGAGGAGGTGAGCATGAGAGGGATTTGGAAAGAAGAGGGGTGAGGATGGATGGGGAAAGAAATTGATGTCGTGGAGGAGGATGGGTAAGAGAAGTCTTCTCACCCCCGCGTCTCGTCTTCGTCCTCGTCCTCCTCTGGCTATGTTTGGTCTTTACCTTATCAGTGGGTCGCGTAGATCACTTGTACCCTCTCCTGCTCTGCTCTGCTCTGCTCTGCTCTGCTCTGCTCTGCTCTGCTCTGCTCTGCTCTGCTCCTCTTCCTCCTCCTTCTCCTGCCTTCCTCCTCCTCCTCCTCCTCCTTCTGCCTTCCTCCTCCTCCTCCTCCTCCTTCGGCCTTCCTCCTCCTCCTCCTCCTCATCCCTCCTCCTCCTCCCTCCTCCTCCTCCTCCTCCCCCTCCTCCTCCTCCTCCTCCTCCTCAATGTGCCTCTCTTCCTTCTTCCTCCTGCTCATCAACCACCTCCTCCTCCACCTCCTCATCCTCATCCTTCTCATCTACCTCCCCCTCCATATCCCTCTCCTCTCCCTCATCCCTCCGCCCCCTCCTCCCCCTCCCCTTCCTTTCCCTCCTCCTCCTCCTCCTCCTCCTCCTCCTCCTCCTCCTCCGTCTGCCCACGCTGGCTCCGAGGCTCGGGGTGGCGGCGCGACTGGAATTTCGCGTTCGCGGTGTACAAGGGGTGGCCGCACCCAGCGCACTCGAAGTAGCCGTTCTGGGGAAGCCAGGTCCAGGAGGGGATCGGGTGGAGAAGGCGAGGGAGGGAGAGGGGGGAGGGGGGAGCGAGGTACGCTCGCGGCATATCTGTACGCATACCTCGAGGATGCCGTGGCGGTGCCCCCTCCAACATCGTGATTATTATTGCCATCGTCAGCACCAACGCCATCGCCAGGAGACAGAAAACCATCCCGAGCTGAGAGCGCATGCCTGGCGGCACGCGGCTGCGAGCAGAAAGAGGCCCCCTGCCGAACTCCGAATCTGAAGTGGCCCCTGCGAAATGCGAGGCCACCCCCACACTTTCAGCACCTTATTGTCCTCGGGGGTTCTCGTCGATGGAACGAGATCTGGGTGCACCGCGGCCGTGATCTTTAGCTGGTCACCAGCCTGTGGTAGAAGAACTGGGGAAACCCCAAAGTACCAATACCGCTACTCCCTGGACCTCTCCCAGGGCGCGTTTTGACTCGAATTTCTAAACAAATCCAGCGGTGGCGACGAGGGTATCCCAGGAGGCCCCCAACAAGGGACAGCGAAGGACATGTAGCAATATGGATACCTTTGCCTCCGCTCTGAATATTTACCTGGTCGCCAGCCTGTTGTAGAAGAAAAGTGGCCGATGCTGGATGTCCGCCACGGACCCGTCCTGCAGGAGCCGCAGCCGATCGGCGACGACAATGGACGGGGCCGGGCCCAACAAGCTGGGCAGCGCCTGCCAAGATATGCGCGCCCCCCCACAGCACTGGCAACACTGACGCACATATTTGTACATTAGAATGATATGTATATGCAAACATATATATATATAGAGAGAGAGAGAAACGTATGTGTATATATATATACATATGTATGTGTAGGTGTGTGTGTGCGTGTGTGTGTGCGTGTGTGCGTGTGTATATGTGCGTGCGTGTGTGTGCGTGTGTGCATGTGTGAGCATGCGTGCGTGCGTGCGTGCGTGTGACTGAATGTGTGTGTGCTTGTGTGCGTGTTTGTGTGTTTGCGCGTGTGTGTGCGTGTGTGTGACTGAATGTGTGTGTGTGTGTGAGCGTGTGTGTGTGTGTCTTTGTGTGCGTGTGCGTGTGTGTGTCGCCGCGCCGGCTGTTCTAAACGCGCCGAGGTAGACGAAGCCGGCACCGCGGCAACCCCCACGGCAAACTCTGCGTGCGAAGCGGAGTTTGCCCTGGTGGTCGAGGCGCTCTCACTCAGACGTGAACAAGCGGCGGCGACACACACACACACGCACTTTGGGCGTCGCTTCCCCACGCACAGCGACAGGGCGTCCAAAGGTCAGAAAAGAGGGCGCCCGCGCCTCTAAAGGACACACACACACGCACACACACACGCTCACACGCAAACACACACACACACACAAACACACGCGCACACACACGTAAACACACGGACGCACACACAAGCGCACACACACAAACACAGACATACATAAACACAAGCACAAACACAAACACAACACACACACACGTACACACATGCACACACGCACACACGCACACACGCACACACACAAACACAACACACACCCACACACACACACGTACACACACACACGCACACACACACGCACACACGCACACACGCACACACACACACGCACACACGCACACACGCACACACACACGCACACACGCTCACACACGTACACACGCACATACGCACACACGCACACACGCACACACAGGCGCACACACACACTCACACGCACACACACACACACAAAAAAAAAAACACGCTGACGCGCGCACACGCACACACACACACGCACACGCACACACACTCACACACACACACACTCACGCACACACACACGCACATTCACACACACACACTCAAACACACGCACACACACACACTCACACGCACGCACACACACACACACACGCACACACACACACACACATACACACACACACACACACGCCCACACGCACACACACACACACGCACAAAAACACACACTCAGACACACACCCACACCCACACCCACAACCTCACCCACAGACACACACACAGACACACAGACACACACACAAACACACACGCACACAAACGCACACACAACCACACACGCACACACATACACATACGTACACACACGTAAACGCGCACACGCACACACACACACACACGCACACACACACACACGCACACACACACACACACGTACGCACACACACAAACACAAAAACACACACAGACGAACACACTCACACAGACACACACCCACACCCACACCCACACCCTCACCCACACACACACAGACACACACACAGAGACAGACAGGCACACACACACATATATATATATATGAATACATATACATATTTATACATACATGTATTGTCCTTGTTTGCTTCATATTGTAAGCCCCCAGCCCGCATGGGCATCATAGCTGCAATAACCATACAAGCGGGCCCTCAGGACGCCCAAGAAGGCACCCAGAAGGTGCCATAACATAGCATGAGAAGGACGAGGGAGGGAGGAGTGTGTGTGTGTGTGTGAGGAAGTTGGCGCTGTCGGGGTAATAGCAAGAACCCCATCCTTTGAATACGGGAAGTACTCTGACCGCGCTGAAGACCCACCCACTCAGTTCCTCTCCTTCTCCTCCACTCACTCAGACTCGCACGCTCAACGATGATGATGATGATAATGATGATGATGACAATTATGATGATGATGATAAGGATGATGATGATGACGATTATGATGCGGACGATGTTGACGATGATAATGATGATTTGACGATGACGACGACGATGATGATGATGAGGGTGAGTATGAGGATGATGACGATGAGGAGTATGGTGGTATTGATGGTGGCGATGCTGATGAGTATCATGATGCTGCTGGTGATGATGATGACAACAGTGATGACAACAATGATGACGATGTTGATGTTGATGATGAAGGCGGCGAAGATGGCAAGGGTGATGGTCATGATGATGATATGGATGATGATGATGATGATAATGATGATGATGACGATGATGATGTTGATGCTGATGCTGATGATGATGATGGTGGTGGTGATAATGATTATGACGGAGCAGATTTTGAGGGACTCGTCTGCGTTCAGAGCAGATTATGAGGATGTCTCGGGCGAGGCGCTGATTCGAGCACTCCTGAGGGGGGGGCAGCCAGGGGGTATCCTCCGTTCGTCTCGAGCGACTTGCCTGTGTGCTGCCGCAGCATCCTCCGCTTTCGGAGCAGATGTTGAGGATGTCTCGGGCGAGGCGCTGGTTTCAGCACTCCCAAGGGGGAGCCGCCTGGGGGTACCTCAGTCCTCCGTTCGCGCCCAAATAGCGGGGATATCTCGAAGAATGTGCCTGTTTGCTGCCGCAGCATACTCCGCTTTCAAAGCAGAGTTTGGAGGATATCTCGGGCGATGCGCTGGCGTTCGCATCCCAGGGGGGCCCAGATTGCGAACATGTCTCGAGCGGGGGGGGGCCAGACTTGTCTGCCTTCAAATTTGATTCTGAGGACGTCTCGGGCGAGGCGCTGGTTTCACCACGTCCAAAGGGGGCAGCCAGGGGGTACCGCACTCCTCCGTTCGCGCCCAAATGGCGGGGATGTCTCGAGCGACTTGCTTGTTTACCAATCCAACATCATCTGCTGCCAGAGCATCGTTTGCTGATGTCTCAGGCGAGACGTTGGTTTTCGTACCCCGGGGCGCCCAGATTGCGAGGATGTCTTGAGCGGCTTGCTTGTTTTGGTGGCCAGACTCGTCTGCATTCAGGTCGAATCCTTGGTGTTTCACGTATGTCCTCATAGATTGACCCTCCATGTGGTTCCAATCCAAATCGTGTTGCGCATGTTCATATATATTGGGCCTCTCCTGGGGCATGAATCCTTTGGTGTCTTACGTATGTTACTGCAGATTGCTCCTCTCCAGTGGCTCCAACCTGAAAAATTTTACGCGTGTGCCTGTAGACTGGGCATCTCCCGGGGCACGAATCCTCCCGGGAGGCCCCAGGAGGCTCCAGGAGGCTACAGGATACACCAGGAGGCACAAGGCCCCAGGAGGCCCCAGGAGGTCCCAGGAGGCACCAGCACGACCCAAGGTTCCAGGAGGCCCCAGGAGGAGGCCCCAGGACGCCCCAGGAGGCTCCACGATGCTCCAGGAAGCATCAGGAGGCCCCAGGAAGCCACAGGAGTGGTTCCAATCCTATGTGCGTTTACAAATGTTCCTATCGATTGGGCTTCTCCTGGGGCGCGAACCCTTTGTGTTTTACATCTGGTTTGCCTTTCTCCTGTGGCCTCCCTGTGTGATTTCCACAATTGCCAAAAATTTGACCTTTACTGGGGCACGAATCCTTGGTGTGTTACGCATTTCCGATATCTCGTCCCTCTCCCATGGTTCCAATCCGAGGTGGTCTACCAATGTTCCTATAGATCGGGCATCTCCTCTCCGTGGCGTGGATTGTTATATCATGGTCCAGCCACTGCGTGAGATCGTCTGGGTCAGCCAGCGAAGCGCAAGGGTGTCGCACAGTGTTTGCAGGAGCACCCCTATTCCTGGCTTCGCCATTGAGGGAGGGATGACGTAGCCATTTCGCCCGAATAACGCCTAGGCATGCTCAGGCCACTGACGTTCAGATACAGCCGTCCTGAGTTTAAACATACTCAGACTCAAGCGCATAGACTCACTCGTACTACTAACACTCAATCACACTCCAACACATTCACACTTAGACTCACCCCCAGCCTGTCAATGCCCAAGCCCGTTTACATTTGTTGCGCATAGGCACTCATGGCAAAAACGTCCTTGCAAATAGATGCACAGATGGGGAGCTCCACGCAACGAATTGTTAGTACTTTCGCCGCGCCGAACACCCACACCCGCCTCCTCCTCCTCCTCCTCACTACTCAATGTCATTCAGAGTCACACTCAGGGCCACTACTCAGGTAGTGATATGATGATGACGACGAAGATGAGGATGAGGAGGGTTATGATTATGATGATGATGCTGATGGTGATGATGATGA